TAAGGAGGTCCCTCTGGCGGGACCCAGAAGAAAGGCCTTCTCTGTAGTGGCTCCCTCCCTCTGAAACATGAGCCCTCCAGAAATTAGATCGCTCCCACGCAGACACTCTTTCATAAGACCCTGAAGACGTGGTTTTGCGGGTGGGCCTGAGGAACTCGGAGTGGGATGGAGCCCATTAAATGGTTGTTTTGTGTGTGTCTTTGTCACCGAAGGAGGGTAGGGGATTATTTTATTATTATTATTTACTAGTTATTATTTTTATTTTTCTATATTGTGTTTTTATTATGTGTAAGTCGCCTAGAGATGCTGTGAGCAGAGCAGGCAGCTGTATAAATTATCTAAAATAAAATAAATAAATAAAACAAACAAACAAATGAAAGGCCAGTTTGTAAGTCACTTTTTTCAGTGCTGTTGTGACTTTGAAATGTTGTAAGTCAAGGGCCATTTGTCCATAACTAGGAATAGGCCATGTTTTTGGCAGATCTTGGATGGGTAGATAACATTATCCATAAATCAGTAGTGGTGAGGGCTCCTCTGAAGGTCAAGGCCATGGGGAGTCAAGGCTTTGCCTGCTTGCCTGCTTGCCTGCTTGCCTTCTTTCTTCCTCGTTGGTTTAACTCTCTGTTAATGTTAAGAATCTCCTTTTTCCTCCCTTAGGAATCCTTCTGTGTGAACAATCTAAGTCCTGAATGGTGACCTTGTGACATGATTGCAACATTAAATTGGGCTGAATATTTTGTTATTGGAAGTCTGATGATGTGGCTCTGGCTGGAACTTTCTGTTAAAGCTTTTAAATTAAAAACAAACAAAGGCTTCTCCCCAGGGACCTTTTAGGAGCAGTAACTACAGAGCGATTTGCTTTTCTGCTGCTGTTTAACGACACTTCTGAACCACAAATTCTCATAGCAAGCCACAATTTTGTATTCAAGATTATTCCTATGTGGTGCATGCAACAAGAACACTGGGGAAGCACGCTTGTTTCTTCAGTATCTTTACACGGCACGCTAGAAACTTATCAATACGTTTTGGCAGTAAAAACGAAGCTGGCTTAAATTGTTCATAGCCAGCTAAAATGCACTTTGTGAAAACCCAGGTGTAGGGAAAATAGAAAAACACCAGGAAATAGCAGCCAAGCATGCTTTAGCCTGCAAAGTCAGGCAAATGACAATTTAAGGACTGTTTATCTTTGGATACTTGATATACTTCTAGACCACATGTTCTGCTTATTTGACAAACTTGAATTTGAGAATGAATATGACCATTAGTAAGAAGAACCATTTCCAAAAGGCGTCTCCTCAGAAAGGAATAAAATGTTTTATTCGTGTTCATGTGCGACTGCTGAAGATAAAAGAAGCAATGGCCATCAAGAAGTGACATAGAACATACATGGATTGTCTACATTTTAAATGTGAATTGATTAACAGTTATTTTTTATTTTCAGGCATGTATATTATTTCCATGTGTTTTCTTATTGAACCACTTATACATTTAAATACTCATCATTTTAACTATTTCCCTCCTGGTTCTCTGTCAAAAAAACCCATCGTTTTACTCCTGTATGCTGTAAATCATAAATGTTTCAGTATGGAACTTATATGAACATACCTAAAAGTTAAAAGTCACTTTGAGAATTGGAAGGGTGATACCTAAATATGACAAATAAATACATTGAAAGGTAATCATAATGGACTCTTGCAAACAATGTTTTATATTTTTGAAATAAGTTACAAAATTATGGGGTACAATGCTACCATTTTTAATAATATTTTTTCAGATATAAAGAATATAATACAAAGAGGCATGAGCTTAAAATACTTAGATATATGAAACTATCAGTCTGAGGTGGAGGTCAAGAAGCAAATCTTGGATCTCCTTATATATTAAATATTTGTGTACTACAGACCATGCAAGCCATAAAAATTAGCCTTTAAAGAAACAGGAGTTTTTAAGATATTTTCAGAATTTTTTTTTCTTCCTTCCTTTTGCTTCTTTGTCCATCCTCCGTCTCTGAGGTTTCTCCCATTTGAAAAGAGAGAATATGACTGGTTTTTCCCAATGCAGATCTTTGAAGCCAGCACAAATAAATGGCCAAGATGTCTTCTTCATGCTGGAAGAGATCTACTGCCTAAACTGACTCTCCATTGGTTGATAAGAAAACCCAATGAAGTTGATGGATTTCTTACATTCAGCCAATGGAATTTCTCCTGTTCACATTTTTTAAAACAGCGATCCCCAACCTTTGCAGCTTGATAGCATGGCTAGGGCAGGGAAAGGGGAACTGGCCTGCCCATGTGTTCGTGCGCGCATGCAGTCCTTGTGCGAATGGTGGGCCAGTAACCCACCTGCACAGCTCAACCTCTGCGAGGCACAGACTGGCGTGCATGATTGCCCGCCAGCCCATTGCTTGCACAAGTTGAGCTGCATGTGCGCACACATAATCTGGTCAACCACTCGCAGGGGCCAATTCCGAACAGGCCACAGGCTGGTAGTGGGTCGTGGCCCAAAGGTTGGGAACCCCTGTTTTAAAGCATAAGTAGAAAACACATTTTGCAGCTTAAAGGATCCTATAAGGAGAAATAGGCTCTTAAGATACATGTTTGAATACAAACATCCTCCAGGACAGTGATGGGATTCAAAGATTTTTACTACCGGTTCTGTGGGCATGACTTGGTGGGCGTGGCAGAGGAAGGATACTGCAAAATCTCTATTTCCTCCCCACCCCATAACCTGTTTTCCAGCTCTGTTCTCCTGTGCAGAGCAACAAAACAGCTGGGACTCAGGTGGCAGAGAATAGATGGGGGCAGGGCCAGTGAGAGGTGATCTTTGCTGATTCTCCAAACTACTCAGCATTTTCCCTACTGTTACTCTAGAACTGGTCAGAATACCGCCTCTGCTACAGGACCAATGATTTGTCTTTGACTGGACTCCAGCTTGAAGTAAACCACCTTCAGTGACTGCCTGGTTAGTTTAGTTCTGAACGTCTTGTGTATTGTCTGCTTTTAATTCCCAGGGTTCACGCTTGAAACTAATACTCTTAAGACTTGAAGGGTTATTAAACTGAAGTTGCTTAAAAGCCACTCTGAAACTTAAAAAAAGGGAGAACCTCTATTTTACAAGTGAACAATGTTACTATAAAGAAAGGGTCATGTGGAGGTCAGCTTTACAAGTTTTTAAGGCCAGTATTTGGGAGGACACAGAAGACTTCAATAGTATCAGCTTTACGAAGTTTCTCAGCTCTCTGTTTAGCCTGAAAGCTCCATTCATACAAAGTGTTTCTCCTTTTCCTTGTGCCTGATCCATGGGGAGGGAAAGGTAGAAAGTATTTAGTTTCACTAAAGTTGTCAATATTGTCACGAGTGTCGTCATGCTACTTTTAATAACTGCTTTGGTGGGGGAGGCTTTTGAATGGATGCATTTTATTTCCATTTCATGTCCTTGAACATATTTTCACATGAAGGTACCCTGCAGTGCACAGCCTGATGCTATGCTCCCTAAAGATGTCAAGATATGTTTTTAATTGCTGACAGCAGTTTTTCCAGCATAGATACTTCATCTGAAGAACCATAAATAGGAGAGGGTGTAGCACAGGAAACGAGAAAACAAAACCTTCATTGCTGTATTTAGTAGAGGGGCGAAGAGGAGGTTTATTGGATAGCAATTTTAGAAATAAACGTAAGGTCAAGAGTTCTCCCAATTTTCATTTGTAAATGTTAAAATAGGTGGCAGTCTGTTGAACCTTCTATTATGTATTAATACAAAAGCAGGATCCCATTCCTTTCAGGAGGGTTGCATATTTAGCAGAATTATACCAAACAATGTCAAACTTATATTTGAGCGAAACATTTAGCAATATCTGTCTATCTGTCGGTCTCCATCCATCCGTTTCTCTATCTGTATCATCTGTCCATCCATTTATTATTTAATTGTTGGGGGGGGGGGTGGAATCACAAGCTGGTTTCTTATAAGGATAAAATAATGGTAAAATAATTCTGTCTTAAGTGACAGTCTGTGACTGATACAGGTAATCTCTACGTTTGATAAATGCATTCATAAAGTAAAATATATCAAAACTATATCACCGCTGCAACTTTGGATCTCCAGGGGAAAATTGTTGAGAAAAGGATGGAGTGGCAATCCGCCATCCTGGCACTATTATAAATGGCTGCTTGTTGTCTGCTTAACTTATATATGGCAGCAAAGTTCATTCGGCAGGTAGAAACATAATTTGAAAATAGATCCAGCTGAAAGGAGTAGATTTTTCTAAGTGACTAATGCAGTCTAATAATGGAATATGATACACCTCCTCCTTGGAAAAAGCTTCATGGAATTCAAAGGGCTAGATATCTTAGCCTTGTTACAAATCAGTGATTCATATCCAACCCCGCCACACAGACACAGAATTTAGGTTTGGAAGGGACCTAGTCCTATTGTCAGCCCCGCCAGAATTCATTATTTAAACCTTATTGTTTGGGCAAGCATTCAACCAATCAGAAATATTTTCCTCTCTGATCTGAATTTGTTAAAAAGGAAAGAAGCTTTTTGTGGGGAGGGGGTGGAATTAGAGACAGATTCTTAATTCTCTATTGGTGTCTCAGGCAAGACCATTATTTTCTAAGCAAATCACTGAATAAAATATTTGAAAGGAAGTGCCAAAGATACATGTCCAAGTTACATGCACCATGTGTCGGATTTTGCTTTGCTGTTGGTGTACCACCCGCTCTGTTTCTTGCTGATTAACGCCCTGCCATTTCAACCCCCCCCCCCCTTTGACTAAGCTCTTGACAAAACCCCTTCAGGTTGTCAGAGCATCTGCTGCGACTCTCCTCTAGGGAGGGATTGGAATTAAATTGTGATAAACCAACTAATCAGAATACATTATGGAATTTGAACAAAACACATCTTGCTACATCATCACTAAGCTTTAAGATCATAATATTATGGCACAATAATTATGTAAACTAGTTTTTATTTTGGAGGGAAAGGACATGAAGATTGCAAAGCAGGCGTTCCAGACTACTCATATGGAGCTGCCAAGAAAGGCTGGGCCAGATGGATTTATCTGTTCATTGCCCCTGGATTGATCTGGCTGCCTTTTTGCTCCTGTATATACAGGAAGACAGAGGAAACATAGAAAAAAAATAAAGCTGCCTGGAAAAAAAGAAAGAGAGAGACAAAGAGAGAGAGAGAGAGAGAGAGAGAGAGAGAGAGAGAGAGAGAGGTACAATAAAATAAATAAATCTATTCAGTACAACTGTGTTTCTTAACCTCAGCAACTTTACGATGCGTGGACTTCAACTCTCAAAATTCCCCATTGCTAGCTGGGAATTGAAGTCCACACATCGTAAAGTTGCTGAGGTAGGGAAACACCGCATAGAAAACATGAGGAAATTTCCTCAGGTGGTTTGTTGTTCTGATTCTTTTGTCAGAAGTAGTTCAGGTTGCATAACTGACACATTGCCTTGCCACAGATCAGAAAAATGGAGGTGGAAGGGGAAGGACCATCTACCTATCATATGCTGGCTTTTTACGATCTATGATTCTGTTCTCCTTTATCTGTCCCTGTATTTCAAGCAATCTTTCCTCAGCTTTGTTCAAAAAGTCCTTTCCCCCCTCTTGCTATCCTCTTCTTAATTTTTAAAATCTTATTTTTAGTAGTGGAATACAAACAGCGTCCTCTCTCTGCCATCTTTCATTCTTCCTCATGCTGGATATGTTTATTTATTGAAGATTTATTTATTTAAAGGGTTACACTGGAGATTTCAGAAAGTCAAGCTGGTTGTCTCCAAGAAAAATAAAACTCACAGCAATAGGACCATCCTTCCCTACCACTATAACCTCATTAAAACAGCACCCATTCCTCCAAAAACTTAATCCAATTTCAAAAAGAGATGTAACCCCTGAAATAATCCCAGCTTCTCATTTTTAGCCTCAGAATAGACCAGGGGTCCCCAAACTTGGCAACTTTAAGACTTGTGGACTTCAATTCCCAGAAGCCACAAGTCTTAAAGTTGCCAAGTTTGGAGACCTCTGGAATAGACAATGGACTCAAATCCCCATAAGTATCAAGTTTTACAAGTTTGAACCCTCAAACTTGTATTGTTCAAACTTGATACTTATGGAGAGATCATATGCAACTCAACAAAAATTTTGCTATCAAATTTTGGTCAATAATTTAAAGTTAAACCTGTGATTTGATAAAGTGGGGAAGAGAAAAGAAGGATCGGTGTATAAGAAAGTGTGATGGGAAAATGTTGTGTCCTGGAGCCATGTACTTTTTGCTTTGGCCTCCCTATTTTTCCTTTATCCTGCCTCATTCCACACACTTCATGATGTCATCAATCCAACACAAACCACATTGGTTCTGTAACTTCTGTTGCTGAATTATACGGTTAAAAAAAAAAGAGGAATATGAACAAAGAACAAGCCAAAACCATCTAATGTTATGTTTTTCAAGAGATTGAGAAAACATTTTTCTTTGATACCACCATGAAAAGACCCTTAAAAATTGCTCTTTTCCATAATACAGTCTACAGAATACATTTTTCCTTCATTCACACTTAAACAGTTAAGCCAGGGCCTCAGATTTGGTATTATCTTTTCTGGTATGTAATACACAACTGCAACTAAATTTTGGATGAATGCCCAGATTTAGGTGACTAAAGCCTCTGCTAAAAGCTATGGAAGTTGTAGGCTACCACCTAGGTTTTCTCTTGGCAACTGCAGATTGATTAACTAGTGACAGTTTTGGACTTTGATCACAAGCATTTGAAGAGAAACATTGCAGTAGACTTCCCTCCATCTTTTTACCCACAATTGGAAAAATGTTTATATAGTGATTCCCTTGTGCTTGTTAATGGTAGCGAAACTTTCCCTCTTTTACAGAGAGAGAGGGGGGTGGGGAATTACTGGAGAATTTGGATGGAAAAATGCTCATGTGTTATCTATTATTTTTCTTGCTGGATTTAAGGAACCTAATGTCCATTCCTGATCTCTGTTTGCTACAGTTCAGTTTGTTTTGTGTGTCTGCAGAAAGGAGAAGAAAGTTCTTAATGGAGTTGGTGCATGTGTATTCAAAATACAATACTGGTTAAGGGACAACTGTCTGGACCACCCGTTGTGGGTTGATAGGCAAGGAAGGATAGTTATATTATAACTTTGTGCCTTGTATGTAGAGCAACAGATTGTTATAAAAGCATGCCATTTCCATTTCCCTTCTCAAATATTTTGTTTTGATGAACAAATTCACACATCGTTTATGACAATGGGCAAGCTGAGGATATAATCGGAATCTCCCACTGGATCTCTAAATGCTATGAAAGCTGGAAAAGATTTCAGACTGATCTGTGCTGCACTAATACGCAAAATGAATTCCTGGACTGCATTTTAGTGTTTTGACTTTTGTTTTAGATTGTTGTAGACTTAGTTTGTAATCACAGAAGGAAGGGAGAGGGAAATAGATTTGGAAAGCCTGAGCACAAGCTGTGATACATGAGTCTCAGAGGTGGTGTTCGGCAGGTTCTGACCAGTTCTGGAGAACCAGTAGCGGAAATTTTGAGTAGTTCGGAGAACTGGTAGCGGAAATTTTGAGTAGTTTGGAAACTACTCAGAATTGATGGGGATGGGGCCATTTCTGACTGGCCCCGTCCCCATCAATTCTCTGCCTTCCAAGTCCCAGCTGATCGGCTGGGTCTTCTTTTGTTGCCCTGCACAGGAGAACAGACTGGAAAGCAGGTTAGTGGGGTGGGGAGGGAATGGGATTTTACAGTATCCTTCCCCTGCCACACCCACCAAATCACACCATGCTCACCAAGCCACACCCACAGAACCGGCAGTAAAAAATTTTGAATCCCACCACTAATGAGTCTCCTTATTATGTGTCTACAATTGGCAAAACTATTTCTTGAACAAAGATGAACATTGGCATTACCTTATCCATGTGGAAGGCCTTGTCAGCATTAGGCCATGTTATTTCTTCAATGTAAATGTTAGTGCAGTTGCCTGATGAATTTTTCACTTGAAAAAGAGCATCAAATCCTGGCACTAAAATAACAAAACAAAAATACTTTCCACCTGGTTATAGGACACACTGTGGGAGGCTATGCAATAAGTTACAATTAGTCATGTAGGATCAGCAAAGAATGTTTAAGACCTTTAGAGCCTTAGTTGCATTACACTAGAAACTGTCTTGGTTTATATATGTATGTTGTGCTAATGGGCTATTTTTAAACAATTAAGCTTTGATATATTGTAGTATTTATACGAATAATTTACACTCAATACAGAAGTCTCATAATATGGTAATTGTATAAAGCAGGGGTCTCCAACCTTGGCAACTTTAAGACTTGTGGACTTCAACTCCCACAATTCCTCAGCCAGAAAGACCCCTGGTATAAAGGAACAGAGTAATGTGAGAATCTGAAACATGTTAATAATAGGATATTATTGTTATACCCGTTGAATTGCACCACTGCCCAGTCCTTCTTTTTTCTAGACGAGCTAGACCCAATTCCTGCAATTGTTTGTTGTATGTTTTAGCCTTCAAGCCTTTAATCATCGTAGTTGCTCTTTTTATTTTTATATTATATATTTCATTAAAGTCTTGTCTATTTTATTTTAAGTTGTCTAGTGTTACATATGCAAGATGGGCAGCTGTATAAATGGAATAAGTAAGTAAACAAACAAACAAATAAATAAATAAGGAATTATCCTACTGATGTGTGGTTTGGTTCTTATTACAATGCATCATTATTGAGAATTGTGAATGCCAGTATAAATACTGGAACAGTTCCTATGTCACCTATAGTTTTAATTTCAATTAATTTGAAATTGGCTCTGCTGTTTGAAGGTCAGCAGACTGTGACTGTATTATACTAATGTTAAATGGGCATCTGCAATTGTTCTTTTAGGGGAGGTGGGGTAAGGGCTATAGGTATTTTCCAGATTCAGAACAGCTTGCTAAAGCATAATATGACAACATCAAATTAAAAAAAAGAATGAGGAAACATAACAGTTCTTTAAAATGCAGATTGTTGTTTTTAGAAACCTTGTATCACACATAAAGATTATAAATACATTTTATTAGCATAATACCAGACAATCAATACAGCTGTGGTTACCTGGATGTAGCCTTTTTTGCTATTTTTTTTTAGCACACATTCAATTTCTTTCTGGGGGAAAAAGGCAGTTATGATTGTTGAGAATTGTGAATGCTAACATAAATACTAGGACAGTTCCTATGTCACCTATAGTTTAAATTTCGATTAATTTGAAATTGCTGGGTTTGCTGACTTTCTACTTTATTTTAAATCAACAAGTAAAAAGTAAAGGGCATTATTAAATATGCAGGGAATTATATTAACTACATTCAAATAATTTACTTAAATTATATCGTATTTAGTTTTTTGCTCTGAGCCCATCTATTTTTGGGGGAAATTCCCCCCTCCAAGCTCTGATATCAAAGGCCAACTATACCCTCAGCTTGGGGAAAAATAGCAATATATGGCCTGGGGAAGCCATAATTTTATGACTGTTTTGGCTGGTTTTGCTTGTGGAAAGGGAATTTCACGAAGGCAGTAGTGTCACAAAAAAGAGGAAAAGCCCAAGGGGAACATCAGGTCAGCCAGAAAACAAACTTACATAGGAAAAGGAATCAAATAAAAAGTATTAAAGAATCCCTATAGACAAAAGCCTAAGTAATTAAGAAAACTAGACAAATAGGAAAAGGAAACAAAAGATAATTTAGAAAACCCTTACAAACACAGGACATACCAAATAAGCAAAACAGACAAAAGACACAAAATATAAATTACAAAAGGGACAGACAGGAGATTGCCACAGAACAAATATGAAAAACTATCTTAAAGCTAAAAGAGATTACAGAAAACCAATAATACAATCTGGCCACCCCGCAGAGTTTGCCCTCCGCCGGAAATAAAGACAAACTCAAAGAGGATTTGAAACATTAGGCACAAATACAAACACTCACACAAAATCAACTTACAAAGGGAGAAAAGGGTATAAAAAACCAGGGACTTACCATGGGAAGCTAGCTAGCCCAGGAACGCAGACTTCTCGCTGTTCTCCACTTTCCTGAAAAATAAAAAGATCCAGCTTTCAAGCAGTTGTCCGTATCCTTGCGCTGGAGCTCTCCCAGCGGGAAAATCGAATCCTCGAAAGAAAGGCATTTTGACACCTTCCAACATGCTGGAATACATTAAAGCAAGGTTGTTTATCAAGCAGTAGAAAAGGAATAAATTTCTCCCCCTCTACCCCAGTTAGCTAGGCCCAGTAATATTGTTTCATAATATGTGACACACTCTAGAATCACTCAGTGGTGCACTTGAGCAAACCATTTTGAATTTGGAAGCAAGTTAGAGCTATCTCTGGAAAAATATAGTTATTTTTTTTTACCTGTTCAGTAAATTCTGCAAATGTGTCCTACAATCCACAAATACTGAAATCCTGCAATTTAAATACATTATGAAATTGGTGTAAGTTTAAACAGAATGTTTGCTTTTACCATACGCCATTTACTATTCATACTTTCCAGAGTATATATGCGAAGAATGTTTAATTTTAAGCTTAGCTCGTTGTATCCAGGACAGAGAATGGTTGGGCCTTGCAGATAGGGAAAAGTTGGATTTAAAATGTTTTTATAAAGTGGGAAAAAAAATCCCCATTTGTTTTTTAATATTTCTATCAAAGCCAGATGCTTTAGTATCAGGAAAGATGTGCTCTTGGTTTCTTGAACAAATTGCTAAAGGGACCGCTACATTAATATCTTTCAGCTTTAGAGCGTCTAAAATTTGGCCGCTCCAACCATTCTGGGTCTTATTATAGGCTGAGTGCAATAACATCAACATATTAAATTTTTTAAAAAGTGGCTTGGAAGCTATTTGGTTATTTAGATTTTTAATTTCTATTGTTTAATAACTTTCAGTTTTCCCCCATATTAGTTAAATTATGAAGTGGTAACTCTCCTCCCCTCCGATTCCTAAACACAGTTCTAAAAGTGCCAGCCAGCATTTTTCCACAAAGCAGGAAAATTGAGAAATAATGGCTCAGCTATGCTCTTTCTATGGCTGGGTGCAGAGGATCGCATTGCCCGGACTTTTTTATGCTGGGGTACAGACTATCTTTGCTTTGCAAAGAGACAGAAGTAGAGCAAAGTCCCAGAGCAGAAGCTTAGCTCTTGCTGATTTCGTTTGAACTTGCTTCCAGATAGAAACAAGATTTAAAAAAGGTCTAGCTACTCTCATCCGAACTAGACTGTGTTGTTTCTCTGTGACATATAACATACGCGGGTAAATTTATTTCTTTTGTCATGTTTATGTAGTGTATATTGGAGGTGGTGACTCTTTTGAGAGCTGTATGCGACGAAATTTCATTAGCGTTTTTCAAAGTGACAATGAAGTCTTCTTCCTTCTTCTTCTTCTCCTCCCCCCCCTACTTCTCCTTCTTCCTCTTCTTTCTTCTTCCTTCTCCCTCTTTCTCTTCCTTCTCCCTTGTCCTCCTCTTCCTTCTCCTTCTTGTCCTTCTTGTTCCTTCTTCTTTCGCTTTCTTTGGGACAGAAATGCTTTGTTTTTAATCCACTTTCCTGCCGCGCCGTTGTCTGTCCTTGCACTTCCCCGACAGCAGGGGGCGCGGGTCCCTTAGTCTCACTCTAAAGCTAAACCACAGAAAGGCTGCGAGAGATCACTTTAGCCTTGACCCCCTCGCGGTTCCCCGAGATCCGCCTCTCCCTCCTCCGCCTACCCACGATCGGCCCGTTTTGTTGCCGTGCCCGCCCTCCCCTCTCCTCCCCCCCGTCTCCACGCGTCTGCTTAGCTGGGAAATCCAGCGAGGAAAAGCAGCCAAGAGGGCGCTAGGGAGAGAAAAAAAAGAAACGCGAGAAGGGAAGGGTCGGTACCCGCGCGAAAACCCAAGAAGAAACAAGGAGGGCTGGGAAGGAACCCCCCCCCCCCAAAAAAAAACCCGGGCGATCTCTTCGGACATCTTAGTCTTTTGCAGCTCTGTTGCCGGATCTGGGGGTGCTGGGGATCCAGGTTTGCAGCGAGGCAGAACAGAGGGGGGGCATGTCTTGCGCTACCAGCGCAGCCCCTTCTCAACCCCCAGGGCCCGTTTGTGACTGCTGTCTCCGCTTCCGATTCAGGGGCGAGCTTTGCTACACCGAGATTGTGTCCGGCGCAAACTTCGAGGTTCCTCCTTCGCCAAAAGCCAGTTTGGATGGCCGTGGAAGCCCCCGGGACAGGGAAGATGCTCGCAGCTGTCTTTTTTTTTTTTTAGCCCGATCCTGTATTTCTCAATTCATAAACTGGACAGAGTCTCGGTAAACTCGGATGAACGAGAGTTGGAAGGGACGTTAGAGGTCATCTAGTCCAACCCCCGCCCAAGCCAGGAGACCCTTCCCCAAGGACCTTCCAACTTGGCAAGTTTAAGACTTGTGGACTTCAACGCCCAGAATTCCTGAGCTAACATGACTGGAGGAGGAATTCTGGGAGTTGAAGTCCCCAAGTCTTAAAAGCTGTCAAGTTTGAAGACCCCTGCCCTACACCATCCCAGACAGATGGCAGTCTAGTCTCTTCTTGAAAGCCTCCAGTTAATGAAGCTCCCACAACTTCTGAAGGCAACTTCTATTCAACCACGGGTTGATTGTTCTCACTGTCAAACGCCTCTAATATCTGTTGGAAACTCTGCCATTGCGGTTTGATAGAGAGGAACTCCTAGCTGGGAAAAGAGGCTTTTTTTCCCCCTGAATTGATAAAAGCCCCTGGAAGCCAACAGGGTTGGCTCCCTTAGCTGTAAACATTTGAAGAACAGCTGAAGGTATTAAACAGCAGCTGTGAGGCATTGGGGGGGAGGGGGGCTGGGGAGGTTGTCTGGTGTAAAGGGTGAAAACAGCAGCCACAAAATAGAAGGTTGCAATTAGTAGTTAAATCAACTCAGGGGAGGTTAGTGCCAGAGGTGGGCGAATAGCTTCCTGCAGAGCTAGATGGGTGAAATTTGGGGTGAACTGATGGAGGTTGGTGATGGCGAAATGGACAGAATCTACTGACCAGGAAACAGGCTTCTTCTATTTATTCCTTGGCTCTCTCCGGTAGCCCTTTTCCTATGTGCAGTTTCAGTCGGCTTCTTGGGTCAGTGAATTCATTCCTGATATTCTCCCCTAATTAGACAGTTAGTCTTCGACTTACAACAGTTAGTTCACTTAGTGACTGTTCAAAGTGACAGCGGCAGCGAAAAAAGCGACTTATGATCATTTTCCAAACTTATGACCATTGCAGGACTCCCATGTTACGTGATTGACATTCGGATGCTTGACAGCTGACTCACGCTTATGACGGCTGCAGTGTTCTGGGGATCACATGATCACATTTTGCGACCTTCTGACGAGCAAGGTCAATAGGAAAGCCAGACTCACTTAACAACAGTGTTACTGATTTAACAACTGCAGTGATTCCCTTAACAAAGGTGGCAAGAAAAGTCGTAAAATGGGGCAAAAACTCACTTAACAAATTTCTCGCTTAGCAATATAAATTTTGGGCTCAACTTTAGTCATAAGTTGAGGACTACCTGTAATACACTGTCTTTATTTAGTTTTTTGTTCTAAATTTAGGCAATCTTTACTCTGCCTTTCAAGGTACAGCTTAAAGAACAGCTGAAGTCCTCAACTTATGCCTGTAATTGAGCCTGGCTATTATTGGCCATAAGTCATATGGCTGGAGCAAATTTTATGACCTTTTTCATGGTGGTCATTAACCAAATGTACTGGTTGTAAAGCAAAGCCCATAGTTGTTCAGTGAATCCCTTGTTTGCTATGTTTCTTTGCTGGAAACTGGAAGTAAATGACCGTTTCCAGCAAAACCCTTGAAAATCATAGTTGCATGACCATGGGGGTGCTACAACAGCTATAAATACAGGCCAGCTGCTGAGCACCCGAATGTGGTCACATGAGGGGAAGGGGCATGTCAGAATTCCAAAACCACATCTCCAGTAGCTTTTCGGGAGTCACTGAGTGACCAGTCATACGTTGAAGGACAGCTTGTATTTTTTGCCTGTTTAAAAAGACAGTGTCTCCCCCTACAAGAAGACCTGTACAAAGATGCAATTTCATAGTCTTCTTTAATGATAATCTGGCTTCATGTCCTGGTTTGAGGAGTTGCCCTGAAATGTGTGTGTACACTGCCAGGAGTTTGATCCTGGCTGGCTCAAGGTGGCACAAAGGCAACACGGTCACATAAGTAAGAAAAGTCCCTTTAATACCTCCAACTTTGCCCCCAGTGTCCAGTTACCTTTGGCTGGAGAAAAAAACTCTCCCAAGAACAGTCTTTAAGTAGAGAAAATTCAGTCCGAATACAAAGTACATACAAACTGTAAATAAAAATCCACACAAACCACGCTGCTGCAATTAACTGGATAGTACAGGATAAGGAATTGCAGATTTCAAAGGCCAACAAAACACACACAGTTGGGAAGACTCCAGGAACCCAGATAAGCCTCGATAAAACAAGACAATACACGATTTGTTTCCAACAAGTTGCTGTACGCAAATTCCCTTTTTAAACACTGTGTTCCCAGCTGCAGCTAACGAAGGGAATTGGGGCCCTTTCCTCCCCTGTAAGCCACACAACTCACGTTGCTCCCTTCTCCATTCCTCCCTGCATGCCCTAGAAGAAGAGGGGGTGGGCCTGGATCTTCCTCTGAATTCCCTCTGCCTTGCTCTACCTCTCCCCTGCTCTACCCAGCCGGACTGTGCCCTTCCCCAGTTTTTTCCACAGCCAACGGAGCCACACTCCCACTCCCTGTCAGCTGCTCAGTCTCCCCCTCGGAATCAGATTCCGACAGGGGCAGGACACCTTCCAAAGTTGGTAAAATGAGATCTCAGATTGTTGGGGGCCATATGCTGACTCTGGAAATTGCTTAGAGAGGGCTGCAAAACACCACGGGGAAATATATAAGTCTAAGTGCTGTTGCTATTGCTATCCTTTCCTTGCTTCCCTTGATCTTTGATTTAAATTAAATGCTTGGAATATTTAATTATATATAAGCCCTGTCAGCACAGTTAGATGGTTGCACCTTGGCTGATCTCAAAAACATAAGCAGAGTTAAATCAAGTGGTAATTGAGTGGGAGATCTTCATGAAATTCTAGGGCTGCAGAGAAGATTGAGCGCATCTTGGCTACATCTAGGAAGAAGACAGTGGTACCCAATCATGAAGTCACAATAAGTCACACACAAAAGGAAACTTTATATACAGCATAAGTTCTATTGTTTCTACATACTTACATCTCCTTCTGTTTTCTCCATCACCAGATAGAAGGCAAATGGTCATGTGACACTGTCAAAACCTTGGGGGAATTCCAGATATACTGTATCTATAGCACCCCCCCGATCTACTCTAAGTAGCTCTATCAAAGAGAGAGCATTAATTTGGTACAACTGGTCTGCAGCTACTCCATGTT